GGAGCGGGGTTTAGGTTGAATACTTGAGGCAGTGAGTATTGATGTAGGAGTTTTGTTCTAAAAAGAAATTTAAGGATAAAATAGTAAAAATCTTGGTCAAACTTAAAGTGCTTATAAGCTAAAAATTCATAAGCTTAGAGTGACCAGCTTATGGCTTTTGACTTATTTTTTACTTATAAGCACTTTTAACTTTACCAAACGCGTAGATAAGCCAAAAAATGCTTATAAGCTAGTTTGACCAGCTTATAAGCTTAGCCAAACACCCTCTTAGTCCAAAAGATGATCCATAGACATAGTTTTTGAAGGCCAGTAGTTTACTTCAATCTTTAGTTTCTTCCCAAGAGATCCCCTACTGTAGTTCAAAGAAATAATCTTTCACCTGTAGTAAGCTTTCTTAGCTAGTGGTACGAAAATGGGAATGTAGAGAACAAAAAGTAACTTTTTGCTCTTTTAAAAGTGTGATCCAGTATGAGAGAATCTTAAACCAAATAAGGACAAAGTAATTGAACGTGATATAATCCCAGACAGTTCCATAAAATCATCCATGCACACAGAAAAGAATATAAATATAACAAGTCACCCTACACCTCAAGGTAATGGGCTCTGCTTTGCCACTAGAGTCAAGTCTCACTGGCGATAGCAAGAGTAACTAAAAACAAACTTTAGGCACCACAATGACCAGAAAACCAACCATCTCCCCAGCACCTTATAATTATATCAATAAGCATACACTTGAATTTACTCTGACGTGTTAATATTCAATAGTATTTTAGCACATTAAACTAATCACGGGCAATCATACAAAGTCATTAGTATATTTATGAGAAATCTTAAATAATAAGTAACAATATCTCACTTGTTCAAAGTTCTTGACAGTTGCCGCACAAAGAAATCCTGTACTCCTTGAAGCGTCAAATTCTTCACTGTATTCTTCAACCTAAACCACATAAAAAGTGACAAAGTAACTTGCAATAGAAGTCATCGTAGACGGAACTGAATATGGATTGTGAAGAAATTGATAGCCACAAACCATTAAAAGTTGCAGAATGAGCTAACCTCTTTTGCTTGAGTTGGGTCAGAATTTACGCCTAGAACAGGAATCGAATTATCCACAAAATGGCTTGCCTGCAATAATGTACCATCTCCTCCTATTGTAACTACTAAATCTACACCACGGATCGGCTGAGATAGATTAAAACGATAAACAGCTTCCCAGTCAACAAGCTTTTTCCTCAAAATACTCTGACAGAAGTTTATAGCCTCCTTGTGAACCAGACGTCTATTGTCTAGATATTTTAATACCTGCAATAACTTCATGCGAAGAAGTCTCACCCTACTGAAGCATCAGACTTTATGAATTGAGGCATACGCCAGTCATTAGGGACTTCAAATATTTGTCAAATAACATGTAAAAAAGACTGTCATGTTCAAAATGATTGGAATGCAAATCATCTGCTAGTTATTATTGGTCAAAGAGTCTCAAGAGTTGAGAGCTATTCTAAATTCAATAACGTATTACCTGGTCATTTCAAGACATGGACTACCAGAATCAACCTGATGTTACCAGTCAGTTGCCTGTATACTTCAAAGTTTCAAGCTTTTACACGTAATTAATTATGCAAGTAACAATCGATAAATTAACTAGAAGCACCAGTTTCAAACAAGACCGAATGGCGTTCTTCTAGTTCTGCTTTCTTGCGTTTGAGACTTTTTAGAAAATCTTGACTTTCTAGGGATTTGTTTATTACCCAATTTTTAATTAAACAAAGTCAAACAGACCAAAACAAATGCAACTTTTCAAGTCACTTTAAACACCCTTCGTCACTAGGCTACCTCTCTCAATTGCATCAAGGAGTTCAACATTTAATATGTATGTATAAAAAGTAAAGTTTGACATGTATCCATAGGCGAGGGGTGTTCAATTGACCACCCTTTGAACACCCCTAGCTCCGCCGCTGAACCCAAAACAACAAGAGCAGGCAAGCTGCGTCCATTGCCTCAACTACTACGAATGCATATAGTAAAGAAGAGCTCTACGGAATCACCACCAGCAGGTACATAAGTTTGAATGAAGAAATAAGCATATAACTGGCTTTGACATATTATCAAACACTTAAAATACACATACTATATAGAACGAGTTAACGCACAAACCTGCTGACTTTTCTCGAGATTTTAACAAATGTAGCAACAACAGAGAAAGAAAAGACGGTAAATATCAAGTTGCTTTAACTATGTGAGATTACCTTAGGGTTTCTGAAATGAAAATTGTTCTCTGATTGGTTTGTCGGTAACACATCGAAAGGCTTTAATAAAAGCAACAACCGTCTCCTCGCCATTGTGAATTTGTTTCCTTCTTCCCCTTGCTTCCGGTGATTAACGTGTAAATCAGCGGACCAAAGTCGCGGAGAGTTGTGAAGTGAAGCTGCCTATACCATGCGAAAAGGGTCAAGCTTCTCGGGACCCACCTGGATCCGAATTTAATAACGGCTCGTTTCACTATTTCCCTGTTTCCGGAATTGCCCGGCGAAATTAGCGTCTTAGAATATCACCTAACGTTTGTTTATAGCGGCAAAGTCATAACTAACAACCTGTCTGTTTGGCCAAGTTTTTTTGGGGCCAAAAGTACTTTTTTTTTCAAAAGTATTTTTAGCAAAAAATTGAGGTGTTTGGTCAAGCTTTTGAAAGGAAAAAAAATGCTTTTGAGGAGAAGTAGAAGTAGAAAAAAGTAGCTTCTCTCCAAAAGCATTTTTCTAAGAAGCACTTTTAAGAAAAATATATTTAGAAGCAGTTTTCAAAAGCTTGGTCAAACACTAATTACTGCTCAAAAGTAATTTTTTAATTAACTAGTTTCTCGTCACGTGCGTTGCACATGTATACCTGTCGAGTGATGTCGTACACGAATTATATATGTAACTTGTTTGTGATGTGTTGAACATGTATACCTTGTGAATGATCGATGTAGATCGTCATATTGTAACTTGTTTGTCGAAGTAAAAAGTATTGGGTAGCATTTAAACCTACAAAAATAAATAATCAAAATTTAATTAGATACATGCGAGTTTTTTCTTGCTTTGATTTTGCTTGGTACAAACATGTAATGAAGCATATCACATCTAATACTTCCTTATAGACGATATTCCTAGTGTGTTTTGTTTTCGATTGGTCTGTGAAGATGATTGGCTAAAATTTAGACCTACAAAAGCAAACAATTAAAGTTTAATAGATACATGTGATATTTTTAACTTATTTCGATTTATTTTGTACAAATATGTTATAAAACATATATTATAGATAAAACAACATGAATTAAAAATCAATACACCTCTTTTTTATTATGAAATAGGAAAAGATTTTTTCAATGCATCTCACCTCTCTTCTTAATCAACATTCTTTATGCTACAGTTGCCCCGAGTTGTACTATCTTTTATAACGTCCATATTTTTGCAAAAAGAATATTATGACTCATTTTTATTTATAATGTCTTTAATCTTCCCAGGAACTAATAATATGAATCCTATCATAAACACTAATAAATTCATTTGATTTTATTACACACATATAAGATCGGCTATCTTTATTTTTTGACTTTTTTCATTACCTTGTACGTGGTATTCGTGGAGTCCTTTATTTTCTGTCTTCATGGTAATATGCATGTATGTTAGTTTAATTTATGTTAAAATGTATTATTCATTTTTTGGGAAAATAGTAAAAAAGAAAAATATTGACATGTATATCAATATTAATTTATATTAGAAAATATGCAGTTACTTAAGGAAACAATAAGATTCGACCCCTGTAGCAATTAAGCTATAAAGAAATTATTATAGAATATACACTAACCCTGGATTTTTAAAAAGTGCCAGAAATTTTAAAAGTCGCATAAGCTTCGCAAGACAGGACTTCTAATGCAACAGTATTATCACAACTCACAAGTAAAATTTTGCTATGTGCAAATGAAATAAACACTATCAATCTCGAAAATTAATTGCCCTTTGAATTATTTTAACACAATACTGATAAGGATAGTCAATATTCTAGAATTTCCTAGTTAGAGAAGAAATAAAGAATTTAGTATAATTTTAGTCCATTAAATATGATATATATATATATATAAGCACACATATAAGACTTTTTTGTTTGTTTGTAAATTGAGACTCTAACATCACCAAAGCCAAGGATTAGTTTATCATCTTTTATTTTGTCAAGATTTAACCGTTATTTCCAGCAAAATCACCACATAAAGTAGCAGTTGTATAATCGGACATATATTTTAAATTATAAATTGTATAAATTATATTAATTTATTTATATAGCACATCAAATGAATATTTTTCATGAACATATAATTTAATTTACCACAATATCAAATCTCCCTCCAAATGAAGAAACAAAATGCTTGACATATCCCAGAAAGAAAGCCGATAGTGAGCATTCACTCAAATAGAAGTCGTAGATCTTTATAGACCAAGTCAGAAGTAAGAAATGGAGGAAAAACAAGGCGAAATATTGCTACATTATTCACCGGCTTAGTATTTGTTTTCCATTCTTTAGGAAAAAGAAAGTTGACAAGGATATATGCATATTTCTCAAGAATAAATCACAAGATAGTAAGTAAGAAAAAATCCTTAGCCATTTATATGTGCTTGTGCAATTTCCTATTTCTCGTACAATCCGAGTCTCCTATGGTCCGCCACCATCACAAAGGCCAAAATAACTATCTATAATATGGATCAAAATATTGCCAAATGGACTTTTTCTTTTAGTCATAACTGGAGACTTGCTCTCATGACTCTGCTAACATATAATAATACCTATCTTTACCCTTTCTTTAGGTCACGCCACATTTTGGAGTGGCTTTTGTCATTGGAATCACTTCAATATAATTTTTCCTCAAAGTGGTCTTGAGATAAAATTGAATGTAATATCAAACAAATAGTCAAAACATATATGGACATCTTGTTATCTAATGTTTGCTAACGGTTTAAAAGAAAAATTAAAAGGAATAGCTTTAGTTACTCATAATTAGAAAGACACACCTGTTAAGGAAAAGGCATACCGATTTGTTTTTAATTTTTCAGTTATTAATAATCTTATTGTTTTATATAAAAACTTAGAAGGGTATATAGGTAATTTAACTTTTAAGTTTAGGGGTTCATGTTTTTAATATAATATAGATATAGATATAGATTAGCCAAACACAAATTACTTCTCACCAAAAGCACTTTTTTAAAAGTACTTTTGAAAAAAGCACTTCTCAAAATAAGCTGATTTTAGAAGTTTGGCCAAATGGGCTATTATTTTATAATGTAAAACACCTCAACGGTAAAAACTTACCCACGCCGGGTGTTTACACCAAACTAATAGATACACATGTGTCTTGCATATGGACTTCAATCATTTAACCATGGTAAATTATATGCATTCTCATCTAATTGAATTAATTAACCATAGTGAGTTAATATAGTTTGATATAAACACTCGGTGTGGATAAGTATTTACCACACCTCAACTATGCAAGTACCATCCCAAAAAAGCACAATTAAGTTATCATTTTGGCAACTCACTTATTTGCATAACATGCAAAATCTAGGGTTAATTTCATGTATAATCACTTAACTTTATCCATTATAATACTGAATTTACAAAATTATTTTTTTTCGCACTAAGGTAATTGAGTTTTGTTTACTACAAAATAGTAAAGTTATATTTTATTTACGTTAACAGTAAAGTCATAAAGATATTTTTGTCACACTATATAACCAGGGGCGGCTCAAGCACTTTAGTGGCCTAAAGCCAAAATTCATTTGGAGGCTTTAAATTTTAAAAAAAAATTATTGTTCTAACTTTTTGAGATACAAAATTATTAATAATTTTTTTAACTTCTTCTAATAATCTTTTTTTGAATGGAAATATAACCAACTCACTTAATCTTTCTTGAGAAAATTTAATCTTACGTAAGATTTTGTCAATTTTATTTTTAAAAAACTTCTTTCCGCTGAGGAAATTGTTAATATTATTTATAAGAAATATAACCATTTAAAAAAGAATAAAATATTTTTAATTAATTGAATATATTGATTAGAGTATTATTTTCTATTGGTACCATTTTTTTAACAATTTTAATTTAGAATAAGGCTAAATCATCAATATCATAGTGACGATTGGATATATTTTAAGGAACATTCAAAGTTAAGATAATATTTTTTTAAAAAAAAATTCATCATTAATGAATAATGATCTCAAATTTTACCACTAAATTTTTTAAATTGTTGAACTTTAAACTCATAGGAGAAAGAAATAAGAAAGAAATAAAAGAGAAAGTATGTAATCTTACGAGAGAAGCAAAAAGAAAGATTGTGACTTAAAAAAAAAAGTGAGTGTAAAAATTTATAACTACTTATACACCCCAAAATAGTAATTCTAATATTGATGGTTTATTCACAAATCTTACAAAATTATCTTTTCTTTTATATGAAATTTTTTAATTTTTTACTAAAAGTACTCAATATTTTTTTTAAAGAAAACCTATAAATCAATTATTGCTAAAACAAATGGGGGCCCAAAATTTGGGGGGCCTAAAACAAGTGCCTTACTTGCTTCACCATGAAGTCGACACTGTATATAACTAAACTTTAACCACCATATGTGTAATAGTAAAGTCACAAAAATTGTATACATCCTAACAACAAAATCTACCAATCAATATGACTTTATTTTTATAGTGTGTAAAATTATTAATTTACAATTATAATAAGCCAAAATACTTTAATGTGATAAAATATAGTTTGTGAATTATTGTTATAAGGGATACAATTTAGTTACTCTAAGAAGAAGAGGAGGAGGAAGAAGAAGAAGAGGAGGAGGAGGAGGAGGAGATGGAGGGGGAGGGGAGAAAAGGAGGAGGAGCAATTTTGTCTGAAATTTGCCTATATCGGCTATTTGGCACAAAACATAAAACCACAAAAAATTACACACACCCCTATCACGCCAAACTATGTCTTATAAAAAGGATAAAGCGGTCGCTGTAAATATATTCCGGTTAACAAGTCCGGAGTCGAATCCCACAGGAATTTAACTTATCGATCACAACTATTGGACTCACAGAAATTCATGTATTCAATCTTCAAAGATGTTTGAGTAACAAAATGGGTATTTATTAACTAAATATTACGTAATAAAAATGCAATAGTTAAAAACTAGCTATAAACTGGTTGTAAGCAAGAATGAGAGAGGCCTAAGGCTCTGATTTCCCCTGTTGTCGGAATCTTTTCCGCTATGTTTGCCATAAATTTGTCTAAGTCTTCTCTATCGACCATGAACACTCTGACTGTCATAACTCTCTCCCGAGTAATTACAACAATATACTAGACATATTTTCCCGAATTACGCTAGCTAGCTTTTAAGTTCACCTCACTTAGATCGCACCCAAGGTTTCGTTATCCCTAATCCTACCTTTAAACCCTTCCTATTGATCCTTCATATACGTTAGAAGTGATGATGTTCAACAACAACCTAAATATACACTCTCTCCCGAGTAATGCACACTAAA